AGTAGGTAGTAGGTAGTAGGTAGTAGGTAGTAGGTAGTAGGTAGTAGTAGTAGTAGTAGAGGTGAAGCGGCAGATGACTTGCAGGCTGAGCTTGGTTGTGACTTGGTCCACATGTTCTTGTGGTTGGGTAACCAGATGTGAAGTAAGAGGTGGAATGTGAGAACCTGCAGGTGTTGTTGGAAGTTCATCTCAGAAATTATGGTGGATTTCGGTGCTACTTGTGCTACTGACCGAGTGAGGGGGGACTCAGGACTCTCACGTCTGGTAAATGAGGTGTGTTTGATATTGGCGCGGCTCAGACAGTTCTTGGAGCAGCATAGATGGGTCAACTAACTAGCAGAGTGATGTCAGACAGGAACCGTAGTCCAGTGTCAAAGGGGCATTGACGCGTTGAACACAAACCAACAAATACTATAACCGATGGATGTTTGACGGATGTTTATTTTCTAAACACAAGCTCACGGGCTGTATTGCGGGCTCGTACACATGAGCCGCGAGCAATTCCTGTGAAGAGTACTTTTCGTATCTTTTCGTCTAAATGGGTCGGTGCACATACAGATACATGATACATGATACATTATATATATAGTATAGAACACACATCATGCATCTATTATGTAGTTACGGGGGGCTTACAGCAAACATCAGCTGTAACCCAGTTTTGCAGACTTTAGCTCAGACGGGGTGAGGGAGGGTTCTTAAGGGAGGCAGCTTGTCCTGCTTTCATTCGCAGTTTTCCTCCGAGGTTATGACGGCAGTGCGTCTCAGTACTTCCTGAACTGGGAAGCCAGTGGCAAAGACTTCTTCAAGGCCCGGATCGTCCGCGGGTCGGAGCGAGCGACCGAAAGACCGGAGTCGGTGTGAAAGGAAGAAAGATAGGGGTCGGCTGCCGTGGGGGATGAAAGGAGATCAGATGTGGCTCACAAGAGGACTTGTCCTGGTGGGAGAACGGATTTTTTTCTTTTCTCCTGACGTCAGAAATCGGGTGACCGGAGTCTGTGCTCTTGGGCATACCACCTTGCCCATCTTGGTTACCTCAGTGTCCTGATGGGACATGTTAAGCAAAGCCGAAGGATCAAAGAAAAAAACACCACTCAACACTTGCAGTTGGTTTCTAGTATTGAAGGGACTGAATCTCCCAGCTTCCCCTTCCCCAAGACCTTGCGCACCGAAGAATCGTGGAAGATTGTATGAAGCAATATCAAAACGTCGGATGGATGGGGATGAACAGGACGCCTAAGTCGCGTGTGGACCTGTCGGGGCTGGGAAAGCATCTTCACATGCCCTGGCTCACCAAAGAGATCTGTTGGCTCACACAACATGGTTGCTGATGGTTCCTGGATGTTCCTGGTCTTCATCAGAGTTGTACAAGTGAAAAATTCATTAAGGGGTGCGGGGGGAGACGTAGCATTGGATCATTTTGGTGATCTCGTGATGCAAAAGATGCGATATTAGCTTGAGTCGGCATCACTTGCCTCATGAGTCTGTTGGATTGCACATTGAACTCGAAGTCAAGCTCCTAAGTTTCCAGTAAGTCGCGCGGGTCCAACGTTAACTTCCACGGCTATGTTTACCCCGAGTTATTGGATATCTCGTATGATATCTCCATATTCTTTCAGTGATCCAAGCCGAGCCTGGTTCCTTCCGAGCCTGGATGACCCCTTGAACCCACCCACGTGAGCCAGGATTGGACCTTCGTGACGGAAGATCCAACTAATGGAGCACCTTGGACTTTGACGCGGGAACTGGGGAGCTGTTGTCCCATGCGTGGGCCACCATTTTCGGAACCCGCAGGTCAACTGGTTGGTGAACAGTTGCAGACCGACTCGATTTCAGACCGACAGGGACCGGGAAGAAGCTAGGCCCTTCTGACCAACCTGAAGCTCCGAGTGGGTTGAAGCTCCGACGCTCCGGGGGCCGATGCTCCGAGTGTTCGGATCGGGAAAGACATGCCGTGTCGAGAGCAGACTTGGACGGATCTGCGTCCAATCCGATGCGCCCCAAAGCACGATCTACAAGGGGGGTGTATATTTGCCCCCAAGATACTCGTCACATCGTATCCCCAAGTCGTTCACCCTGCATACCCCCAAGGTTCCACCTCCACATTCTCACCCTTGCACTGCCAGCGTTCAGGAGGTGAACTACCTCTCTCGTGCGGAGGCGGAGGCCCAAAGCCTAGCGGTGGCTGACCAGGAGAGAACGGTGCCTGGCGTCAGCCAGTACAGGGCAGTTCGGTTGGAGGATGGGGTGATGCAGCATGGCAGAGCAATTTTTGTATGTGTGTCTTTTTCTTGTTGGTGCTTTACCGACATACTTCAGTTAGTGAAGCATGGTGGTGGAAGTGATAGGATGAAGATGAAAGAACAATATCTAACAGTCTAACATCAACTCTGGTATAAAGAGGTTCAACAGTATCTATGAAGCGCCCCATCTGGGTCTTGGTATGTTTCTTTCTACACATCATTGGCCAACACTGCAAAAAACCTACATGGATGATCATGAATCATGAGATGGGGCATCCACAAGCACCTGGAGATTCCAACATGTTTTCACCATCCTCACCATATCCACATATTCACCATATCCATAAGGTTCCATCTGCTGAATCCCACGTGAGATATCCAGCATCAAACATAAATCCTGCTGAACCCCGTCCCACTTTGCTTCAATGTGGCCGACGCTGGCCCAGCTGGTCGGATGTGGCACACGTTTTTGGAGCTCGACTGTGCTTGATCAACTGTGCTCGACGGCACGCCTCCGACACTCCATGACTGGCTTCACACATGAAAAACAAGTAACTCGACCTGCAAAATGTGCCAACCATGACTGTTGCCACCTGTGGCTGCCAAGGCTACAGGTTCGACCCATCGCTTTGAGCCATCCCCTCCAGCCTTGCCGCCTGCCGCGCCGTGGAGGACCACGCGCTGCTCCGGGTCGGCGAGCTGCACAATGGCCGTTCGGCCGAGCTGGAAGTGGAGGGGATGGGGGGAGGAAGAGCGAGTTTCAATGCATTTCGATGATGATGGAATTGATTTCCAGGTATTTCCATTGTTAGTTTTGGTAGACAAATATGCATATATTAATATACGATCGACTATCGATGAAATTACTAATCTATTACCATAATTTCCCAAGGGCGGAGCAAGCGAATCGTTTTTTGCACTCTCGAGGGAAGCAAGCAGACATATGAAGACATCGTTGTGTTGGAGGTAGACTCGCCTCAATCGTGATGGTCTGAACAGTAAACCACCTGATTCGGACCGTGTTCGTTCCAAAAAAATAAAAACTCTGTCTTCGAATCATCTTCACCCCATTGCCGTGCGAAACGGGCTGATCAAGGCGACCGTTTCGCGAAACCGGACCGTTCGGACCCTTCGGACCGGCCAGGGGGGGCAGCCAAAACACCGGGAAGTCCTTCTGGTTCCTGTTTTCTGCAGAACAGCATAGGTCTTCTGGGTGACTTGCAGTGTATTTTGATGGGTGTCTTTATGGAATGAGAACATCGTCTGGGTGTCTATGATGGATGACTTCTGATTCAAGAGATTGGGACGTTCCCAGGCATGACATTGTCCCAGTCTTTCAAAGTAGGATCTCTTTTTTGGGAGTGTGATATGGCATGAAAGGCATGGCCCGCCACATGGCATGTGGGTTCTTTACGTGGGCATCCCTGCGTGGGTGATGAAGAAGTGTTCTTTTTGGGCACCCAAAGATGAACAGACATATAGATATATACAGTATACACAGTACTTTTGTTTGAAGGCTAGAGTCAAGAGAAAAAGAAGTACAACAACCATACACAAACTGTGTAATTACGTTTGACAACAAAACCATATGGTTATATGGTTCGTAAAGAAGATGATTATGAGGGTTCTGGGCTCGGGACCCTGGGCTGATGTTTGGAACTCTGTGTCCGCGGGGCCGAGACATGACCCGCTCTTTCCGCCCAGGCAAGCGAAATGCTGTCCGGATCCAAACCAACAAGGTGGGGCGTGGGGGAGCTGAGAAGGCGAAAGAAAGAACGCCAAACAATAATTCCTGGTGGATCCGAAAAACGAAGCATGCTTTCTAACAAATGATTATGGATGACCACGGAACAATGAACAGAAGGGACTACTTATCCAAGATTTAGGGCTCCAGGTCTTGACCCACAGACATATGGACCGTCAATGTGGATTGTTCGAAGTGAAAAGTGGCTTTGATATTTTTTGCCGTTGAATGCTGCAGTTCGCGGCTCTGATGAAAGCCTTTGAACCTTCAGACCAGACAACCACCACAATGGTAAGGCGGAAGCTTAGATCGGTTGACAAGTGGCACATGAGTGGGTACCTAGTCATGCGTTTCAACAGGCATCATTAGGATGTTACTTCATGGGTTTGCTCATCAATTGGAGTTTTCATTGACCATTCGGGCCATGTCTCAGAACAGGAAAGCCTTCAGAGGACTTGTATTTATTCAGCAGTGAATGATGTTGGGACACACATTTTTATCCATACTTTAGCTCCAGGTACGATTCTGTTTTTTTTGAACAAAAGGTATAAATACAGCATAGTAGAGACGATTAGAAAGATGAGAAATACATTTGCCCTTCAGTGGCCTGACAACACTTCAGAGCAAGATGCGTTTGACACCGGCATGTTTTGGATGAGTCGATCTGGCTCTATTCTATTCGGTCGGACCTTCGCTTTGAGCCAAGGAATTGTTCGCCAGTGAAAGCTGATTCCAATCTCAGGGAATAGTGAATAGTGAAAGCTTTGTTTTCTCATGCTACAAGATGAGTTGACAACGTGCAACACATCGTCTATGCCGAAGATGGGAGCAAACCGATGACCGACAACCCCACTTGAAAGCAAATGGATGACCAACAACTCTATTCTGTTCTTGTCATTTGCCTCTTGGAGCTTCAATCTTGGAACTGCCTTGCAATCATGCCTGGGGTCCATATAATTATGAAAGTTGGATGTGCAATGTGCATCTCTGTTTTCTTCTTCACTGAAGCGGATCTTTTGGACCTCCAGGCCACCCTTGTGACCTCCAGGCCACAAAATCCTGCGATCCAGGCGTGGGATCCGACAAAATCCTTTCTGGTGGCGATGAAGTATCGCCATGTTCCCTACGGTGCTGGTGTGCACCTTGGCCGGACTGTGTCAGGAAAGAGGGGGAGTATATTGAGACTTTCTCAAGCATAAGTCTTTTATTTCTTCAACTTGTTGGATAGACAGCACTAAAGCAATAACGCGTGCTGGATAGATTGAAGGTATTCCTGGCATTTTGGGAGACATGACCCGCCAAATTTTGGACGGTGAAACCACTCACTGAAGGTTTGTACGTGGAAGTCGGGCAAATTTCCCAGAAGGGGCCCAGTGGGTTCTCTTGGCCCACAAGCAGGGTTGAGCAGGAACTTTAAGTGGGTGGCATGGCCCACGAAATCCGAAGACCATGGCCCAGTGGTTAACAGGTCTTTTACCCGCTCTCTACCTGCTGATTCGACTCCCACACTCAGGTGGCCAGCGTTTTGGACCATGTCCAGCGACAATGTTTGGCCCAAGGTTGGCAGGGAAGGGTTCGTAACCGGTGCATTCGCGGCACTTTTCGGAGCTTGAGGAAGATCCGAGAAAGAACATGAAAGAACGTGGATTTGTGTTGAGTCTTCAGGCATGTTCAAAGTGAATTCAAAGGATTTGAATTTCCCAGAAGTTGCCTTTCCCCAGACTTCCACGAGCAGATTCGTTGAGACGTTCTTCAGCAGGTCGAGAGAGAGAGAGAGAGAAAACCTCCTGTGGTCACCATGACGTCGATGACCTGTTCTTTCCAACATTTAGCCATTGAAGAAGGCGAAAAGAAAGGTGGTCCTTGACCAACCAGGTAATTTTTTCTCATTTTTTCGTTATATTTTCAACCTTTGCTTGAGATGATTGAATCTACTCACTGATAATTATGTTTCAACTGAGTTGACAGTACCAACTAACTTTAGCCTGGTCTTTTCGATCAATGACCTTGCTTCGATTCGATGTGTTGGCACCAGAAGCAACACATCGAAGCAGGATCATTGATAGCTTTATATTGCGTTGTCAGCACGCTGCCGCAGAGGGACCCCAGGGTGAAGGATAACACCACCGGCTCAGAGTTGGCCACCACCCAAAGGAGGGGCCTGACATGCGCTCAGCAGCGCGTACTGCAGCAGTTTTCCTTGACGCCTGTGTTTGGAGCGTGCTGGCCCCCCTGCGGGTATTGAACACCTCTGGGAACAAAGGCCCTGGGCCGACCTCGCTCGTGCCACCGGATCGGCTCGCGGGTGCCGGCAGTGGCTGCGCCAAGCAGCTCTCAGGGTGGTGAGCTGGACATCGCCGAGTTCGCCAATGACCAGCCAAACCTGGTGAGCCATGGGAACCATGGGGTATTAGCCCATGCCCTGAGAGTCAAAGACTGTAAACAGAATGGTCTTTAGATGTCTTTGATATAGGATACGTGAAAAGGAAGATCCTTTACTTCACTGGGGCAAAGTATCATCAACAGTCTTTTGACGCCTTTGGGGCATGGGGGGTGAGTGAGGGCACGAAGGGTTTCAGAGGGACCCCTCCATTTGGGGAACCTGTGGGAACCTGTGGGAACCTGAACCAATGAACGGTTCTTGCAGTTCTCTCGACCAAGTAGAAAAACCAACGGTTTTCACAAGTTAAACAGCTTGCATCGTGTACACATGGAGTCCATGGAGGAGACGTACCATACTGGCTGGCGCTGTCAAGGAAACTTGGTTGGGAAGATGGAGGTCCAAATGCCTGGAGATCAAAATGCCTTTGGTGGACTAGACCAGACCATTTTCCCGCTTTCCCGCTTCTATATCTATATCCTATCTCCTCCCTTCAACTTGAGAGTTTGAGACGTGTTCAGGTGTTCAGATCTTCGCAAGGGCACCCAGATTCTAAAGTCTCCTTGGGATGCTAAAGTTGCCACGATGTGGCACTGGCTGGGCGCCAATCACATCCCCAACCTGCACGGGAATCGCACCGGATTTGTGGGAAGCTGGCTGATCTGGTCCCGGGCTTTGGAGAATTAACTCGTTAATCATAAACTCTAGTGCCTCGAAAAAACTTCCAACAAGTCAAAAGGATGCCGCCAGCGCCGCACCCGCGCTGTGTGAAGTCTCATCGGGCCGTAGGATCTCGGCTTCTGCAGTTCAACTGACATAAGCACCTGCGGGTCCTAAGTCCATCCAGCTGCAGGTCCTTATGTCATTTGATCTCTAGGACCGGGGTTCGGATGACATGCCAAGCCCATCACAAGGCGGGTGCATCATTGCAGTTGCTGGCCTTCCCTTCCCATCGTCCGTCTCAGATCACGCTCCACGTGCGCGGCGAGTGCGCGATGGATGCCGAACGGCTGAAGATGTGCACTCCTGCCGACTACACTTGGTGCGCCGATCGGCTCGAACATGGCCATCAACGGCTCCTGCTGTGGACTTTGGAAAACATCGGTTCAAACTGCTTTCCCAGTCTTCCACTGCTTGCTCTTCCCTTGCTATTCCCTTGTGTTGACATGTGTTGACATAGTTAACTGTTCGGTAATGTAGGGTTCATGTTGTCCTTTTAGTGTTCTTTCGTTTTCGCCGATCAGGTACGACACAGTCTTCACCACCTGCGACACGGACTATGGTCAGCAACGTCAGGGCTGCAAGCCTCCGCAAAAGCGACACCCGGCGACACCGGTGCTCGCGGGGGACCGACTTGGCCGAAGGTGGCAGAACATATGTGACAGTTGGTGAAAGGTGTTTTCAAGTGTTGCAACAGAAGTGAACTGAATTAGAACAACGAATTATTGGCCGATTCTTTTGTGCGGAGATTTCCCGTGGAACGACGCCAGATTGGCTCAAAAAGTTGAAAGACATGAGACAATCTGTATCAATATTTGTCCCGTTTCAATTTCTTCTTTCAGCAGCCCCTCATGAGCGTCAGACCATATTTTACAAATTTCCTTGTGTGAGACCTGAAAGCTTTTTTTTTTTGCGAACACGCTCAGAAGATTTGAATTCACAAGTCCTGATATCCGAACCTTGATAAACCCTGGTGAGCAGTGGAGGATGATCAATCCCCGGGAAGTCCCAATGCACCCCTGTTTCGCTGTTCTCAAACATCACCTTCCTGCCTAGTGCCTTGGAGGATGCTATTCCATCCGCAATTGAGAATGATTATCCCAAGTAAATAATTGACTCATACATTGGGGATGGATCAATCCAGCCATCAATCACCATGATCTGGACTGTGATGAAGTTGGACGACACCTCAGGAGCTGCGCCCATTGTTGACAGCGTTTTGCAAAAGTTCTTTAAGTTCTTTCACAATAAGCAACTAGTGCCCTGGTCACCCAACTCCCAACCATTGAAACAGAGAGAAGTCCGGAATCCAGGTGCTGATTCTTAAACATCCCGCCGGGTTCGTTACCGGCCCACGTTTTGGTTGATTTCGTGCGTTTGCACACAGCGAGACACAAATTTTAGCGGCGAAAACGGGTCGCCGAAACCAGGTCACCATTTCTTGAAAATGCAACCCTTCCAGGGTTTTTGTCTAAAAACGGGACGGTTTTTTCGAGGGTGTTTGAGTGTTTGTTTTAGAGCTTTCAAACTGCTGCCAACCTTTTCATTTCCCACATTCAGAGCAAGCGAAGCTGCTGCGCGGTATGCGTCAGTATCTTTTAGGTTCCGATCTCCCATCTCCACTGAAAGGATCGACAATTGCCAACCTTTTCTTCAACATTGAAGAGTCCCTTAGAGTGATTGCATTGCCGAAGGACCAAGCCAAAACGCTTCGAAAGCTTCTTGTAACAGGGTGACCACCGATGACCACCGATGACAATGTTATGAAACCGATGACAACCTGTGGTGAAACCGATGACAATGTTATGAACACGATGATAATGTTGTGAAACTGATGACAATGTTGTGAAACCGATGACAATGTTGTGAAGCCGAAGATTACATATCGTGAAATCGATAACAATGTTCTCAGCACGACATCCACGTCCTCATTCCATCACAACCCCCCACCCCCCACCCTCATTTTAATCACACGACTCATCGATGACAACATCCATACATCGCTGACAATGTTGTGAAACCGATAAACATGTTGTGAAACCGAACAATATCATATATTCACACTTGCATGTAGCTTGCGGGTGCAAGTTTTATGTTCACTGAAGTTCACAAAATGTCCCACCGGGACATTTTGGCTCAAGTTGGTGGCAATCATCCACAGGATTGCACCTGATTTCTGAAGGAAAAAGCTCGTTAGTACATCGGTTTTTTTGTTGAACACGACGCAATGGCGCACCCGATGGAAGCCGAGTATGTGATGATTGAGTCTTTCAGAGATGCCCAACCGGATGAGGGGGATTCGGTTACAGTCAGTAGCCCGGGCATTGAGAGCATGGACCAGGCAGCTGATGCTGCGTCCACAGCCCTCCGGCACGCGGAAGGAGCCCGTGGACTTGCTGTTTTTGGGGAGCCTGTCCTGGTCTCCGAACTTGATGCACAGGAACAAATTCGCCAACTGACGCGCCACATGGAAGACCTCAAGGTCCAGATCGCCAACCAGGAGGATGCGGACATGGGTGTGGACCTCCTCGGGCTGGACGACCCTGCTGGCGGCGCTAGCAACCTCCCTGCAGCACCTGGTGCCTTGGGCCCAGATGCGGGGGAGGTTGCAACCACTGCGGGGGAGGCTGCGGTGGTGGCGACGACCTCGAGCTCTACTACACCTGCAACGGCGGCCCAGCCTGATCCTTTGGCGGCGTTTGCGGAGCCGCCAGTGGCCTGGCCTGTTTCGGCGGAGCCCAGACCGGCGGCACCACCCAATGACATGGAGGAGGACGGCGCCAGTGAGCGCGCGGGACTAGGTTTCACGCCCCCTGCACCGGCGGGGTATTTGGTAGATCCCCATGCCGCCATGGAGCCCTCTACGCCTTGGGCCTTCAAGGATGGCAACCCACAGAAGCGTATCGCGGCCCTGGAACTTCTGGGTACTTTACTCCTCTGCAAGCACTTGGTGGCCCAACAGGGCCAGCTTCCAGGAAGAGTTCGGCTCCCGGTTGGCAGCGACAACTCGGGCAACATCTTCAGCTTGCTCAACCTCTCGGCCAAGAAACCTTATTCGGCTGCTCTGCTGATGGAACTGGTTCTTTTCCTACATTGTGAGGGCTGTAGCATTGCCCCAAACTACGTCCCCACGGAATACAATACCTGGGCGGACGAACTTACCCATCCTGATTTTAAAGGGTTCTCCTTAGATCGCCGGCTACCGGCCCCGGAGACCCTATTTGTTTTTCCTTTGGCCACAAGACTGTTGTCTTCAACTGGACTTTCTTAGGCCCCACCCAAGATCCCGTGACCGGATCCGGTGGGCACGACCCTGTCCCCTGGCACCTCGACAGGTGCCAATTGGCCCTGGGAGGACCAGGGGACAATCGGGTGTTTGGCAGCGATGGGCGAATCCTACTGCCTGACACACCCTTTTTGTCCCCCTGGCGAAGCCCAGGGTACTTTGAAGTCGACAAAACGTTACAGGGTCTGGGGGAGGACCCCAGCATCAATCAAAGCGCATTGAAAAAGTCTGCACGCAACTTTTTGCGCTCACGGGATCTTTTTGACTTCTGGGTACATCATATCATATCATGAAATCGATGAATGGCAGCATAAATAGCCCAAAACGTGGGCCGGTAACGAAGCCGACAGCTTAAACATGTCCAATGGCTTCTCTTCGGAGAATGCACAGATCACAGATGGTTCTATTTTCGGATCAAGCTACACTTCGTTTTTATGCAGATTCGAAAGCGACCGGTTGCCACACAGCCAAGGATACATTGGAGAGATTTTCAACGTCTATCCTGGAACCTTCGTTGCAGAGTGTCTCGGCCGTATGGTTTTCCTATATGGATGGTTTTAGTGGGGATTCCAACCAGTACAAGGAATTTTCGTTGGAATAGGGGAGACCTCGGCCGAATTAGACTGGTCTGAGTACTGTTCTTCCAGTGGGTCCAGTCTACATCCGTCCGTCCTCGCCCCACGGGCGGGCCTCGTCGCATGCACGCCGCCACGGCCGGGCCTCGTCGGCTCGGCAGGTGGAACAACAACACCATCAAGGTGCGGAGCCCGTTCCTGGCAGTACGATCGATAGGTGGAGAGGTGTTGGAGAGGCTTGGACATTCAGTCTTCAGGCTTCAGGGCCTAAAAACTGAAGGACTTGAGGACTTGCGCCATCTGAACAATCTTTGCTTCCCATGCCCTATGCTGTGTGACTAGACCCAACCTCAGATGTGTTTTGGGCCAATCGACATCACGTTTCAGACACCCGAAATCTCTTCCCATCCTGTACAGGTTCATTGTGCTCCATCTTTCACCCCACCTTCAACTGATGCGGCCCACTGCTACTCCACTCACTCCGCTCGCTCCGCGGATCTTTCAGGTGTGGCACTTCCCACAGGGTACGGAGCCTGCCGATTTGCACGGCACGCCGCGGCCGGGGGACTGGGACCCGGAGAAGCTCTTGACCTGGTTCCCATTCGTGGCCTGGTCTGGGAGGGTCTGGAAGGGGGTGCACAGAAGGGTCCAGTGGTGTTTTGGATTGTGGTTTGGCTTGGGTGGAAGAGTTGAGGACACGAAAGTTGGTTGAGGAAGATGTCCGACGATGTGAAGGTTAGACGATGGAGCCTGTGTTCAGCTGAGACCAGACAGTCAACTTACACATCGTCCGAAAGATCTTGTGATCACAGTGGTTCTTCGATGATCGCCTTCATGAAGCCTTCCAAGCATCGAGCCTTCCATAGCCTTTCTGTGCGTCCCATGCCAAAGCGTCAACGAAGTCAAAGAAGTTGGTGAAACCATCCAGAACCCACGAGGAGGGTGGCTAAATGGAGACCCTTTCAGATCCTAGATCATGCGGCCGCCGAAACAGCCTAAAGAGTAGTTGATACATGTTGATACTCACAGGGCGCGCCAGCATCGACCCGAATCCTAGTGACGAGAGGCACCGGGGGGTGAGAGTCAGATGAGAGGCACTGGTTCTACATGGTTCTAACGGTTACCTTGGTCACACCTGGATACCCCAAATAGCGAGCTGCTTGTTCAAAGGACCAAGGACCATTTCCGAAATGAAACAGGGTGCTAACGCGTCCATGGGCATTCTTGTTCAGAGTGGCCCTTGATACATGTCCACGCAAAGAGATGTTTTGCTTTGTCGCCGAAGCTGCATCCCAAAGCCATGGTTTTTGCCAACCCAGATGGTTTGGGGGTGGGTCTCTTCCATCTCTAAAAGGCCCAGAGATTTCAGATTTGCTTGTGGATCTCCATTCTTGGCTGTCTTCACATGCAAAAGAGAATCGGCCAATCACACCGACACACCGAGTCGCTCGGCCGTTGTCCGCCACTCGGGTCCCCGCCTTCGCCTTCGCCTGAGGAGCCGCACAGCTGCACCAAAGCCTTCGCCCCGCAGGACCGTGAGCTAAGCGGCGAGAACGAGCCGTTCGGCTGCTGCGAAACGGCGTCGAAGAGGCGTTCGCATGTGGAGCCGAAGGGATTCCCATGATTCCCATGATTCAGTCTTCTTCTCTTTTTTCCCAGGAGTCTTGTCAAGGTTTTTGGACTTCTTTAGAAACTTTAGAATTCCCAAGACTTCTGCAAAGGCGCTGCAGGGTCCAGGTCGTAGCACTCTGTCTTGAACTTGAAGACCCTGGCCTCTTCTGCAGGGATAATTTGTTTTTGGGATGTTGCAGTTGGGTTTGGAGGGTTCAACATGCCTTCTCAGTAGGTCTGTGGATCCTCAAGGGCAATGAAACTGCCATGAACACGTTCAGACTCTCACATCAGGTTCAACATGTTCAAAGCATGTCGTGCAAACAACTGGGATTGGGTAGATAGAGTGGAATGTTCTCCTCCCTTGCATAGAAGGGTGAAGCTTGTTGCCAGGAGCTTGTCATTAACACCGAGCTGTGCTGCATGGATGCATTGCAATATACATTGGGATGGGCACTTCAGTTAGCCCCAAGCATACTGAGACCAACGTTAAGAAATGCAACATCCGCTGGTAGACTGGAGAAACCAGGGTTACCAATCACTGAAACATGGCTTGCCGGCATGGTTCCTGCGATGAGGCGGTTGGTTGAGCTGATGGCGCCTACGTTCCAGAACAAGAGCATGTGACGGTGGCATGACCCTCACAATCCCTCATCGTCACAGAACTACTGTAGAAACTAGGTAGTCTCCTCTTGGCAAAGGACAGCATCTGCCCTTGGCAAGGAAAACAGCTTCTAAACTGCTTGGCAGATTACTACAATGTTCCTTTTTTCTCGTTCTTTTTTGAATAGCAGAGGACAACAGTAAAAGCGTCTTTGAGCAAGCATGGTGGCACCACTGCAACCATGACCTTTGGTGGTGGTTTTGCTTTCGATTGGAATCTTGTTTGCCCTGAAGATGAAGGACCCACCGACAAAACACGGAGTCTAACAAGGAGCAGAAAAGCCAGGATTGCAACTTGCTGAATGGTTCAGCAACTGGAAAATGCTTGGCTCACATAGAGGCGAGTGTGTAGAGGACTCGAATTGTCTATCTTGGATTTGGTTTTGCTGGCCTGGGCGCCTTTGACAGTTGAAGAATGTTTGAAGAAGCAGAGCTCCACCGCCAGTTGGGGTCAATCGATCCAAAAAGCTTCCGAACAGATCGACCACCTTTGCAAAACAAGTATCATGACATAACGTTTTGTGCGCCCGATGGTTCTTCCACATGGATTCTCATGACTCATGCGGGGCTTGGCTTCGGGCCGGAGCTGACTGAGGTGGTGACTGGGCAGGCAGCAACTGGGAGCTGACGCCCTTGAGCTATGCCACAGGCGACTGAGCCAGAAGCGATGCCTGCAGTGTCTTTGTTTTCGAGCCACGTCGTGTCACCTGCGTTTCGCCGTGTTCGGGACGATGGTGGATGAGATTCCCAGACGGCTAGCGCTGCTAGCGACCTGTGGACGTCCTCCCAGTTGGTGCTTGTCCCGGGTAGATATGAAAAACTGGTATAAATGATTACTATGCAACGCTCTCTGTTTAGGTTGGTCCTTGATCGCTCAAGTCTGACCCTCATCCTCCATTGCCTCTTCCAATATCTACCGAAGGCCGAAGGTGAGAGAGGACCAATGAACATCCGCCAAATCTACGCCTTTGATCAGGACCCTCTGCCCGTCTCTGCCTCTCCTCATCTCTTCTCCCTATTTGGTTTCCATGGTATGCCATGGTCATCCTGAGCCACATCGCCAGGCTACCGGAGCATGTACGGCAACTGTCGCGGAGGCTTTGATTCTTGGCAAAGCCTCTGATGAATGCCGTCTCGCTGTGAAGCGTGGCGTGGCAGCGTGGCGGTGTTTGTTGCGCTGCAACGCGCAAAGAGCGGTCATAACGCTACGCGGCGCTATGCCCGTGCGGCGCTACCCTGAGCTTAAGGTTTGCTCTGATTTTACCTGGAAGCAACGGCCTTTCTCCTAATGGCGATGGCCTCCAACCTAGTAGCGATGGCCTCCAACCTAAGCGAAAAGTTTGCTCTGATTTTACTAGTTTCTTTCGACCCGGCTGGAGAATCGATTCCAAAAAGCAGAGGCCGGCACGCTATCGATTCCCGTCGAGCCCCTTTCCGCATTTTAAGGCACTTACATGAAATATAAACATATGTATGGCACATACATAAATGAATATGTATATCTTATATACATATAGCATATAATTACTTATTTGATTCTCATTTTTGAGGCCAGATGTGAGTGCAACACCGGAATGGCACCAAAGGGGCCCTCGTCAAAATAGAGTTCCGTTTCACGGCGCGACGCAACGGTGCGTAGAACATGACTTGGACCGTTTGTAGGCAGACTTGCAATTGGGCAAGCTTTAGCAATATGTTCTGTTCTTTGTGGCAAAGAGAGCAGCTTTGAGAGAGAAAGAACGATCAGAAGGCCAAAAGACAAAGGAAGTAAGAAGGAAAAGGAGAAGCGAAACGAACAAAAGGAACAGAAAAAGCAATCACGCCAAAGAAGAAACGACACCAAGTAAAAGTGCTCATAGAAACGACGCAGAGAAGAGCCGAGAAGGTAACAGTAACAGAGAATGAGTCCAAAGGATGATGACAAGGAACAGGAAAGGAAAAAGGTAAAGTGCAAAGAAACATGAAAGGAAAGCCAAGGAAAGGAAAGGAACACCAAAACGGTAAGAGCAAAAGGAAAGGACAATGCCACCACGTCTACCAGGAAAAGACACAAGAACAACTTGTGAACTAAAAGGCCTGTAAAAGACGGCCGAGATACAAATAAGAAGCGAATAGAAAAGGGTCATTGGATCCATAAAGTTCGGCAAAGCATGAGGAGTGCTGACATCAATTTGAGCACCACACTCACATGGACAATGGCGTGCTTCCCGCTTAGGTTTGTATATTGGGTGCAAGCCGCAGAGCTTATTTTTGGCATTTCGCCCAGCGGGTTTTGCAGAGTTGAGACCGCCAGTTCATGCCAGTTCTTTTGCATAGTGTTCACGCGAGTTCGTTCATGAAGAACCTTATTCGGGGTCGCGAAGATATACGTACTGTACACATGTATATACACATATACATATATAGATATTTGCAAGTGTATTGTATATATATAAGTTTAACATCAATCGCTGTAGTCTTCAAGTCTTCATATAAATCTACCCAGCCTTTGCTTTTGGAAGTGGCTGGTCCATAATTGGTGGTGACGTTTGGTGCCAATTGCTCTGGCTTAACCTGTAATTATACAGCAGGCTGAGAGATACTTGTTGCCCCCTACCCATGTGATTTTCTCGGTACCTTGCGATCCGATAGATTCTGCTGAACTCGATGCATGTCATCGATGCATGTCATCAACTTTCAGCAAAGAACGCGTTTTAAACTGCTGAGATGTCGATGCCCATGGAGGAATGCGCGCCCTGTTAAAATGAACATTGAACATCAACCCGGACCAAAAACACACACGACGCGTGTTCAGTGTTTATATAATATTTTGCATATTTTTCACATGGCCCGGCAAGGTGTTGTTAGTACCCATTGTGTTCTTCAAGAACTGCTACACATACCGGCAGACTGGCAGACATCCTCAGGTACACCAGGATTCCAGCCACCATCTTGAGCGATTTCGCTCCGGTTATACTGAGGATTGCTGCCAGAAGTGGATCCAGGAGCTTCCGGTCTTCTCTGTTTTTTTGGGTGGGATCCAGCAAGACCCGATCACTGTTGGCCTTTTTACTGTTGGTTAATAGAGGGGCATACCCTCAAGTGTAGAACCAATAGGTATATATATATATGCTACCTGGCACCGATTCCTCTATTCTTCCCAAGTACGGACATCAAAAAGAACCTGATGGGGTGATGTGCAGGGAATAGTATGCTCTATATAAGGAATCATCTGATTCTGCAGTGTTTGAACATCCCAAAAACCACGGCAAGTATGCCAAGTAACCAGACCGAGACGGTCTAGTGTGGTAGAGTAGATGGTGAAACCAAGCTGCTGTTTGGGACGTAGTTCACCAACGCAGTTCACTAAGGCCCCACCAACGCTCACGCTGTTTCTTTTCATGTGTGTTTCCCTACGAGTGCCCGGGCAGCCTGGTGTTCTGATGTCTGAACGGACCGATTTTCCGATGTCTCGGAGGATGTGTGCCCGGGTCCCCCGGTCGCGCGCTCCGCTCCCTCGGGTTTGTGCCAAGTCGGGGAGGGGACTGAAGTTCCATGGAACAGTTGGGGAAAAAGACTGTAAGGAATCATATCTAGATAATAGCGATGGCCTCCAACCTAATAGCAATGGCCTCCTTCCTAATAGCGAGGATGGGTGCTTGTGGGGCCTAAGGAGATGGTTTGTTCGGGGTTCAAACCGTGGTGAAGACTGGCAGCTCTTAGCTCCTTCGTTTTGATGGGGTGTAGATGGTCCCTCCAACATCCTCGTGGTTACGTGGATGGCATGGCGAAGGACCTTCTTCCTCTACAAGCAGGGGATTGTCCACTTGAATGTTTGTTGGAGGGAGGGTAGATGGTCACATGATGTCACATGTACACTTGGTCAAACCAATCGCGCCGTGGCAGGACCCCAAAGCAACACCGTTTCTGAGAGACTACGCCGTCTGGGACATCGACTACATCAAGGCTAGGCTGGTTTGGAAGTTTGGTTTCACTTCGTTGTGTTCTTTTTGGTTTGGTTTTTTCTGGACATCTGGCTATAAATCAAAACCTGGAGCTCCAAACCTTGGGAGGTTGACCCTTGCAGGGAAGACACTCGTTTCTGCATTTTGACCCAAGCACATGTGGTGTCAAGGTGAATTACTTCCCACTGAATTCGCACCGGACTCCCAGGGCCGAATACGATTCATGTTGATTCCATAGTTTAGGACCTCTCCCATTGACAGTAAGTAAAGTATAGTAAACTATTTTTTTGGGATGGCCTTTATGAAGCATCATCGACTGGGCCATGCTGATATACACCATCCATTGTTCAATCTCCCAGAACTCCAAAGTTATACACGTCCTTCTTGAGCTGAATTTTGAGCTCAAAGAAGTCGCTTGTTGTGTTTTTTTCCTTGTATGTTTGTATATCTATCTCTTAAACATTATTCAATCATTTCTTTGTATGTTATTTTATTATTCTTTACTTAAAAGAGGGTTCAGCCATCAGCACCTGCTGCACCTGGTTTCAAAAACGCACACATACTGGTGCGTTTACCGTTGGTTGGATACATGCTCGATGTTGATAAGCTGAACTGTGTGTCTCAAGAATGCGTGGCAATACTGCAGTGATTTTTCTAAGTTCTTGATATTTCTTGTAGAGGAAAAACATAGCAACCCGCTGACAAAGATTGGACAATCTTTCCACACGAACTTCCATTGGGTCCATCAAAAGCTGTATATGACATGTATAATATATATATATATGATTATGTATACATACACATACAAAACCATATATGGTATATGACGGTAAGACATCACCTATGGTGTGGGTTGGGTTTTCCTAGTTCCTTTCGCCTCTTTTAGGGTTTCGAGGACCTCCGTGCAAGCTCTGAAAAGGGCCCCAGAGGCGCACTTAAGGGCCCCAGAGGCGCACACAGCTCATCAGCTTTCGCTACTTCTGTTCTTTTTGGGAAGGCCACGCCTTGGTGAGGAGGGGAGTGGGTCTCCCCCCAACACCACACAGGCCGGACATGTCCAGACGAGCGATTTGGCTGGGCTTTCACCAACTCCACACGGTCGTCGCGGTCCGGGGTTGGTGGGTTTGAAGTGAGTGTTATCCCATGACAGTTCCACCGGGGTTGGCGGATCCCATTCTCGTTATCCCATCCTGGGGAAACGCCTTGTCTGCATGGTCTGCATGGTGTCCAAGCACATCAGTTCAGATTGGTCGTTCGGTAGGGAAAACGACACGAAAGTCCTCAGCTTCCCTTCGCTGGAGCCTGTTGAAACGAATCAATGGTTGGTCATTTCCTTTGGTGTCTATAGAGTAATTACTGGGGCTGGGCTGTTCGTTAATCCTGACGCCCACTGGTGTCCATCTAATTACATGCTCCCCTTCACACTGCGAGCGGCGCAAGGTCTTCACGCTGGATGGCAAAGATACTGCCCCAGCCAGTGGCACCTTCCGCCGCGGAGGGCAAGCGTTGCACTGATGTGACACTTGGCAGCAGAAGAGGCTGTCCAACATGTGGCAGATGTTTTGGGGAGATGTTTGGCTTGGATTGACCGATGGGACAATGGTTGAATTGATTATGGCACAATGGTTCGAAGGTCCAGGCCCTGGTGGATCGACATTGACAGCATCCTGTTCTGAGAAGATTCCAGCAGGTCCCAGGACCGAGGTGTGTCTGTCCAACTCCAACATCGCTCGTGGACTGTTTCAGCAGCTCGAGGGCTGTTGGGAGTGGTTTTCGCCTACACTCGTCTCTCACATGGCAATGTAGATGGCATGGTCCCTTCAAAAGACAACTTGCCTTTAGTAAAAGGGGGTGAACTCCACGTAACGTAACCATGGATCGTGAGTGGTTTCGTGACGTTTCGTGTAATCGATGTTCCTCGTCTCAGGGAATTGGGTCTCAGGTTACTCTTGCTCTTTTTAAATTAAACAAGTGCCGGTGCTCCAACTTGGCTCTCCCACTTGGCCCTTCCAGGAAACTTTGCGAAAGGGTGCCAGGGTGGGATCCAAGATTTTTGGCGATACTTACATTCATTGAGTCCGAAAAGAGCGAGCTTCAGAGCTATCCAAAAGGGAGCTGTTTTTCAGATCCTGCAGATTTCGTCCAACCTCCAAGGCGGATGTCGCCTGTGTCTCTCGACCAGTGCCTGAAGCAGACCCCTGGCTGTGGCAAGATGATATCAATAAGGGGGTTGCTTTAAGATCTTTAAGTCACGTGTGGAAACGGACATCGCTCTTCACCATCCAGATACATCGGATGCAGCATCTTAGCTTTTGCCAGCATCATCGACTGCCCATTTTTTCGGATGTTGGCACACGCCCAACATCGTTCGCCGACGTGGCGCCACCTGGCAAAGTCCAGTCCGACCCGATGCCCTCGCGTCAAAGAAGATGTCGCAGGATCAGATCCGAAGGTCTCCAGACTTTCTGGACAGGGCATGAGAAGGCTACTACAGGGCTATCGGGTCTTAGCTTTCAGTCAACTTTTCCTTTGAGGATAATCTCATCCCCCTCACCAACTCAAGCTCAATGTGTTTCCATGTTCAGATTTTGCTTTGTCAGGTTACAAATAGCAAGAGAATCATGGCCACCCATGTCCCATGCAGTCGTTGTATGGACTCGTGCTTGCCAGGGGAGTGGCCTCAGGCCATCTCGGTGCCTCGTGGGACGATCTCGGTCTCCAAAACACACCTGGTGTTGTAGACAGGACCGTAGACAGAACGTCCTCACCTCCAAAGCTGGACCGGGCGCTGTTTGGGAACACCGTTGTTTTCAACTGGGGCCGCTGAGAACCTTGTTGCCTAAGTGGTGCTTCCGAACTGCACTCCACTCCGAACCGCACTCCTGCCGGACGAGAGGTCCGTCAGTTTCTCGAACGAACAAGGCATTACTAAGGGAGGGAGATCCATCCCATTTGGACCGAAGGCGCTGATGGGTCGCCGCTCCCCCCACAACCGAAAGCCCTGTTGTCTTACCCAGTGCCTTTACCTACGTGCCGAAGGTGGGGAATCCATCTGTGTTGGGTCGAAGAAGGGTGGCCGGGCGGTTGGGCTATCCGCAGAGGCTTCCTTCTCTGGCTCGAGGCGACAAGTGGAGCATTCAAAACGCATCCTGAACGGGGCTGAGCCAGTTCAGATCCTAGCAACAACGACTTGTATTTACCTGATAATCTAGATGCTAGATGCTTAATTGAACCCCCCCGGCATTCTAGGAAGAGGTCCAACAATCCCAAATGCGGACCTGTGAGCAAGGGATGGTGGCAGTGGGAGCGACAAGCCGGCAAGTCCGCGCATCCAATGGATGCCGAGGTTTGATTCACTAGGCACTGCGTCACATGCATGCACTTCCTGATTCACTCCTAGCTTAGGGGAGTGGGTACGAGTGGCCATGTATGTCTTGCAATCAGGTCCAATGTCGCGAAGATGCGGCCAGCAGAGATGTTGAATAACATGAACAACTGCTTTTGAGGGGGGTTTCAATTTCTCGCGGCTTGAACCCGTGCACAACCTTACCCTGGACATCCTGAAAACAGCAACTGTTGTGAATTCTATCTTGGATTCTTTTTCTCTCTTTCCGGCGAGACCTAAAAGCTGTCTAAAGCGTGAGCTATCCTGCGTCCATTAGCTAGTACTGGTAGTTTACTTTGGCCTTACTTCGTTAAGTAAGGGCGGGCAAAGGAAAAACGGGACATGTGTGGGGCATGACATGACGCCATCTCTGTCAGCCATGGCTGGTCACCAAGGTGGGGCCAAACTTCTTTCGACTCGTCTAACTAGACGGCACACCGGTCAACGAACGGGACGTGGGTCGTTTCAGGGTTGTTGTTATCCACCCGAATTTGGACCTAATGTAGACTCTTGATTAATGAAGCCTCTTGGATTGGAAAACCTCTTCATATGGGCGGTTGTATGAACCAAATGTCAACAATTATCGGATGGTTTTGTTCACAAAGATATGCCAGGAACTGAGATACTCTGACGGAAGTGCGTACTACGCCGTGCCAACACGCAAAAACGGCCTGCTTTCTAACTTTCAAGTGCAACTATGCAACTTATAACTCGATGCTCTTCTTCGGGTATCCACAAACGAGCAGATGATCAACCACAAAGATCAGAAAGAAGGATACAGGAAGCCACTCTTTTGAACATTTGGACATTTCATTCAAGGGGAACTTTAAAGGAATCGAGTAGTGATCCCACTCATTTTGGGTCTCATGTAGGTCCTCAAGCGTTTAGTCGAATACACTGAGGATGGTTCCTGGATGTCTGTGGTTTGAACACCCCAATGGGATCCAAAATCGATTCCAAATGGATTCCAGAATGGTTTTGGTGAACCGAAGAAGTCTGGTCGTCGGTGACGGGTGACTGCAGTGACTGCAGTGACTGCAGTGACTGCAGTTTGGTCGTTCTCCAAGATCTTCGGTGTGACACCGTAGCGAAGCAGGCGAAGCCGGCAAAATAAGCCTCGTGATCCGCGATCGGCCCACGAGTCTGGTGGGACAACTCTGACGTGTGACAACTCTGCGCATGGGACTCGTATGGCTGGCTCAAGAGTAGGGCGGGCATGGTGTTTTTCCTGCCAAATTCACATGGAGAAGCATGAAATTCAGTAAGCCCAGAGATTTGGAGCACCAAAGCGAGTTTAGAAGTCTCTTGAAGAGCGGCAAGTCCATAGTTCAACCACAGCCATGACGGAGAAAGAGCACGGGAAGTATGGAGACCCGGGAATTCTTGAGCTTGGAAAACATGTGCATCTCCGAAGTTCCAACGCGGCAGGGGCACGAACAAAAGTTAAATTTGATACGATGGTCGGCAAAGAGAAGAGACACTGGCTCATTTCTTACGAACCTCCAAACCCTCGGGCTGAATCCCAGCCGAGTCTTTAGTATAAGAATGTCTTGTACACACATCTCTTTGCACATCTTACTATGTACAGAGGCCTGATGACAAATAGGCTTCACAATTTGTACACATTCTTAAAGAGATATTCCTTTTAGTATCACTTTTCTACCCATCTGGGGGCATTCGATTCCTGGGTTTCTCCAAGAAATCGATCTCTATATCAAGCCAACACATGCCAACACCAAGGAAGCTCTCACATTGCGCAAAGGCATCGAACGTCATCGAACACATTTTTTTCTGGTTAATCCAGTTGTGGCCCATCTTCGGATCATCTTCCGCTCATTGCCATGGAGGGTCCGCGGATCTTCGACATGGCGGCCGATGAGGCCAGGGGCCGCGGATCTCCAATCTTCTGGGGAGGGGGGTTCAGGTCGGGTCTGAGAGTTGCTGGCACTGGGACACAGGAGTCATTGTTTTGAACAAATTTGTGCTTCATGTTTTTCTAACATTTGTGAACTCTATTCACTCTTGGGAGGTGCCCCCCGCCACAATATTATACAATATTGACCTTTTGAGGATACAGCACGCCGGGCCACAGTAGGTAGCAGGTAGCAGAGTTCTTTCGGGATGTTTGCAATCGACTGTAGATGAAATCCGCAACTCCCCCACCGTGGCTGACGATCCTTTGATTAGATTTTGATGGATTTTGCTCCATTCCCCCGTCTTAAGGCCCGAACACTGAACATTCTGATGGTTTCGACCGCCCGGAGATTTCATGCATCTCAGCAGCGAGCTTTACGGTTGGCGCTACCTTGCCAGAAGTGGGGGAACATCCAAGCGCTTCAGTGTTCCACCAAACCTCCGGAAAGCTCCTTTCACCCCAACAACGCCAACCCCAAAACATCCAAGGTCCGGATCAGTCAAAAGCCTCAGGTACAACAACCTACTACCAGGCTTTCCTTCTGGTGAAGCTGACCCTTCCAGCAGGTTCTTTCTCGGTGAAATCAGGTGAAACGCGATGGACTCGAACCGAACGTCCATCGTTTGGATGGCGCGATCTTGGCAACGAAAACACCTTGCAGGTGGTTGGGTGTCCACCTTCAACGCTCGGCTCGGTCACCTTAAAAATAAAAGCTTCCGTTCGTAGTGCAAAGCACCTTCTCCCGTTCAGCCGCTGCCTTCTCTCCCCCGCTCAACTCGTTCGGCTGGCAGGGTGCGGGCTCGGAGGTGCAGAATTGGCTGGAAGAGCTAGGCTTGGGGCGCTACTTCGGCCTCCTTCAGGCCGGACTGGTGAAGTCCGGAGGAAGTCTGGCGGGAGTGGCATGGATTCACTAGCTGTGTCATTCTTTTTGGAGGTTGAGGACTGTGATGTAGTATGGGCAACTTTGCTCTTAGGAAAGAAAGCATGCGTTTCTGGATCAGTGACTGGTGCAGGTAGAGTCAGAGGGCATCCTTGTGTCCGATCAGGGTTGGCATGCATATTCATTAAAAGCTTGGGCCCCCGAAGAATGTCTGTCATGTTTGTTACGCGTAATGGATCGTAACCATCGTGAGAATGGCTAGCTTGGGGTAGGTCTGCAGCACTCGCTTACTCGACTCGACGGATCTTGATCTGTGGAGTGTTCATGCCAACTGACACTGTGCTGCCCTACACAAGGTCCAAGGGCCTTGTAGCGGGGTTTGAGACGGGGATGATGTGCTCAAACAGATGAAGCTATGACATGCTTTTGCCAGGGCACAAACGCTCCCAGCTTGAGTGTCTTGAATTGAACGATCATGTCCTGGATCCCCAAACCACTTTCAAGTGGCCGTGTGTGTGTTTTTTTTGACTTCCCCTCACCTCCCCCGGTGACGCGCGCTTCGGCGACGTTTGTTGCTCTCCCTTTCGCCACCGCGGAAGGCCGAGGGCTTCGATGACTTTCGCATCTGCCGCCGGGCCACTGAAGAGGACGTGAGCGCCCCTCGGGCTCAGACCGTTGGAGATGCAGAGTGTTGGCGGGGATGTCGTTTGGTCAAAACAAGCACGCACATATTTTATTTCATTGACATTAAGCATCATTAGTTAGATTTAATTAACTATATAGTATTATATAGTTATATATATAATTGTAATTTCGGATCCTGTGACTTGTGTTTTAAGTGTACCCCCACCAAGATCCGCCCAAAACAGCCTTTGAGTGCGGGCAAATGGAGGTCTATATAGAGATCGGGATGGTCAGGTGATGTTTGGTAGATCTTGTGACCCCAAGGTCAGAGAACTGAAGAGATGTTGACAGCTGGTAATCTAAGACAATATACGCATTGCTGGTGATCTGAGTGAGAGCATCGGTGATTCTTATCTCAGCACAGTGAACAGGCCAATGCCTTCACCTCGAGTTTCTTACTTGCGGCGCGACAAACGTCATTTTGCACTCTACCTTTATCCGCAAACTCTCCTTCCTGCTCTATGCCTTCTTCCCCGCGCCCGTGGTCGTTGACCTTTTCGCACTGTCCAGCGGCGCTGCCCAAAAGCGGAACCGCCCAGGAGCTGGTGGTGCTTTGTGCTATGCCGCGGCTCCACGAGCGTCAGTTCCGCCGCGCGCTGAAGGAATTGTGCAAGGCCCGGTCTCCGGTGAGATCTTGAGAGCAACATGACCTATTGAAATGTAGCTTCCTATACTTCAAAGGCTATAGTACAAGCATGCAAACACATATTCTAGGATTATTCTTGTACACTTTGAATTTGTTTCACTCATTTTGGCAACGCCCATGTAAACTGTACAAGCAACCTTTCCGGCACATGACGAAGTGTCCAGTCCGATTGGTGAACAAGCTGAAGTGAGGCCTGTCAACAGCCAAGCATCGTAGTCGTAGCAGCTGGTGCTGGAAAGAAACACACCAAGAACCAGCCATAATGCGGAGTTAGCCCGTCTTCCTATGTAAACATGTTCAAACATTAAACAACCATTTTGGTTGCTTCAGGATCAGCGCCGGCTTTTGTCAAGACTCCAGGTCACACATTTGGAAAAGGGCACCCCACTTTGAGCAATGCCACCGCTTCGATTTGGAAGCTCAGTCAGAGCCTATGGCCCACCCTAGCTTAGCGTGAGTGGAGCACCAGTTGGATGACCAAATTGCCCAATCCTGCTGATAACACGATGAGCCGAAAGTCTGCAGACCAATCGGTCTGATTTGAGGGTGAGGAGGACGAGGACTCCACACTTCCACACGAAGTGACGGGTCGGGGGCTCAGTGAAACCGGATGTGTGGCTTCTGGAGGATAGAAGTGAGCAAACAATGACCGAACAAACCTACGAGCTCACAGGCGTTTGGGACTAAGAATTTTTGACGCAGATCCACACAACAGATGAGACAGTGCTTGGGTAAGCAAGAGCTGAGGGCCATCAAAAGGGAGGGTTCAGCAATAGTGGGTTGGAAGATAACGGGCAAGAGACTTAGAGGGACCGCGCACCTCTCAGAACGTTCCCCTACAAGGTCACGGGGGTCCAAGGATGTCAGTGGATGAGTATAAAAAGAACCTACCTGAGTTAAAACATCAGCACCACAGGGAGATGAGTTTCGGGCAGTTCTTGAGAAGTTTTCGGCCAGGTCTTCACCTGCGAAACAGTGATGCCTCTCATCCTGGCGCCACACTCGCTAGAGGTCAAGGTCCAAATGGCCAGCGTGGTGATTGGCGTCACACTCATTCTTCCGTGTCTTCTTATATAAAGTGGGAGGTCAGCCAGCCTTGGGTGGCTGATCTCCTTGACACCGTGGTACCACCGTCTGCGTCATGGTCTGTGAAGGCCGCCACGGTGGGTGCTGGTGGAAGAGGCGGCCTTCAGCGGAAGAACCATGTATATGATTGGGTAAAAACATGTACAGTACATCAAAACTACCTGCTTGAAGAACCCTCACTGACATCCTTCTGTGCAGAGGTCATGAGCCAGAACTCCAACCCCAGATTCTCATCCAACTGCGAAGGGACGTAGACTCTGGCGAAGGGACGGGACTATTCTCCAGATTTCTCACCGGATTGTCTCTTTTCCTTCGGGGCGTTCTCGGGTCCAATCGCACCACGCTCCGCCACGCTCCGCCACGCTCCGCCACGCTCCGCCATCGCCAGCCGCTCTGAGGCGGGGGGTCAACGCCACGCTCGCGGGCCAGTGGGGAGGCCAAGAGGATTGGTCATGGCTTTCGACGTCGAAATCACCCTGAGGATTGGTGCGCACCTTCTGGGGTCGTACCTTCGGTTCTAGGTCTGCACTTGGGACGGAAAACTCATGAATCATCATTCTCCGATGTGCGATCGCCAAAGACTTGGAAATTCACTTGCGGCCAAAGCTGTTGGGTGAACATGTACTACTTGTATGCTGTATGTGCTTGCATCGACTCATCCAATTTTACTTTTTTGGTCGGGACCCCAGGAAGGACGCAGGCAACTTGAACCACTGATTCAGACACTTTGTGGGGGGAGGTGCCTTGGATCAGCTGCCTAGCCAAGAGCTCCAAAAAGTGAGACTTCCTGGATCAACCTCCCCAAGATCTCCATCACAGCCATCAATGAGATTTGGACTCATCACACCTTTATTGCACTGAGTCCTAATTGATCAGAAGACCTTTGGACTCCTTGGGCTTTGTTGTCAGACCGAAACAGCGAGGCACGTGTGTAGACTGTGCACCTTCAAACGTGTGGACCATCAGTCGGTGTTTAGGGGATACCAGCTGATTGCCACGCTATGGGTATCACTTAGTTTCAAGTCTCCGAGTATTCAGATGTATTAAGTATCCCTTATATAGATCATGTTAGACTCCTTCTTAACCCGTTCCCCCGACCGCAGTGCGCCGCGGCATCGGGGGCGGAGCGCCCGGTGCGCGCGTTGTACGCCGTGGGCGCCGAGGCCCAGGAGCAGCGCCAGGGAGTTGGGAGCCTCGAAGGATTGATGGAGCTGGCATTCTTTCCATGTCCAACTGCTGGTGGTGGGTGGGTGGGTGGGTGGAGTTTCGACCTTGGAGTTTCTGTACTGTCGGATCCATGTGTTCCTTTTTGCTAGTGGGTGGCTGAGGCTTTCCCAGTTTAGAGCCATTTGCTATGTGCTTTGTTCTTGTTCCACGGTGCTGAATGACTGGGAGGTTTCCAAGACGACCTCTCTGGCGAAGCTTTGGGGGTTCATCTCCACTTGATCAGTTGGGTTCCAGAGCCTAGCATCGCCACCCTCCAGCTGGTCCCATCAAGTGGGCCGTGACCACAAGCGCAGATCATCATGCTTCACTCGAAGCAGAGGTTCCAAGAGCACCAGGGAAGACTGCGCCGAGGTACCTGGGAAGTCATTGGTTCCGTCCTCAGAGCTGTAGGTTTGAGTGGCGTGCTTCAACTGTGTCAAACGAGACCCGCAGAAATCGTGTCTTCTATATTATATATAGTACTTACCAGCACCTTCCAACAGGTCTCCTCTGGAGGCTTTTGCAGACTCAAAAGTCGCAGGTGGTGACCTGTTGGAAGGCCCTGGTATATGTACTTATGCCATACTTTTCCTATCTGGTCATATTGAATCTTTAGGAGTCGGGTTTTGTAAGCTTGCCACCTCAGAAACTCCACATGCATAGTTTATGGCAGCCCCTTTTTTAAAGGATCCCCTCTTGTGGTCGCTGCTTGATGCAAGGATGTGAACTTCAAACTTGGGAGCAGCTGCATTGAACTCCAACCTTTTTATGTCGATCGGAATTTGAATCCTGACTTCGCGATCACCTCGGGATTCGCCTCCGCATCGCGTCTCGCGATCACCTCGCATCGCGTCCTCGAAGCGAGATGTCGCCGTCGAGACCTCACGAGTCCAACCGGTGTCGAACACCTCAGAGTCAGTCAGATGCTTCGAGAGGTCCATCGGTTCTATCCCCCTGCACATCGGTTGAACGGGCGGTCCTGCACGGGCGAAGGACGGTGGCGCGCCTACAGTTCAGCCTCAAACAGCTTTGGCCTTCTTTGAGGTCGTGAAGCTGGAGAGCGACGTTCAAAGAGGCAAAAGGCAAAGGTCTGAAAGTTCATTTCCCCAAGAATCCGAGGCACCAAATCGACCCCCCTTTTGCAGCCTTACCTCTAATAAAGCTACGGCAGGTTCTTACCTCCTACCTCCCCTCTTCACAACCTCCCCCTCAAAGAGAGCAACAACATGCAACAACAATAATTGAAGCTTAAACATCTCCAGAAGAGTTGAACCTAAGCGTCAGGGGAAGCTCTCTCTCTCTCTCTCTCTCTCTTTCTCTTTCCTTTCCTTTCCTTTCCTTTCCTTTCCTTCTTTCTTTCTTTCTTTCTGTCTCTCTCTCTCTCTCGCTCTCAGGAGGTCTCAGTTATCTCAGTAGTTCTCAGAAGGACCTACGTGGAAATCCAAGAGGCTTAGTCGACCGGGTCTTCTTTCTTTCGAGGCGGCCGCTCTGCCGGTGGGGTACTGGTGCGCAATGGGCAGGAGCGCATGCTGCTGAAAATCAAGGCTACTGAAATCATGCTGCGAAGTGAAAGCGTCGGTTACAGGACGATTTTCCGTTTCACCGCGAGTTTTGGTTGTTCTTGTAATTGGAATGCAGGATCGTGTTTTTGTGGCCTGTTGAAGTATTTCACAAGTTGGATGAGTTCGATGATTCAATGGCAATCCTGGGAGTCTTCTAGATTCTATACAGTATTTCTTCATGTGTCACAGCTGTCCCATTCTTGGTGGTGTTTGGGTGCTAGTCTTGACCCACAATCTTTAATAGGATCACATCACAATTTCTGCACACAGTATGTCCCACGACAGTCGATTGTATGCTGGACTGGACACCTGGCAGTCCGTATTAAAACACCAAACGTTTCTGCTTCAGATGTACCTAGCATTAGTCTTCAAATGTCTTCAAAGATGAACATCGACCATTCAATATGAACTTAATACTTTTTATCATTATCCAATAAATTGAAAGGAACCCATATTATGTCACATGTCTATCTCTGACGCTTCTCCGACCGCGGCCCCGTCGCAGGACCTGCGCTCTCCGGAAGCGGCCTCTCGGCTGGGCTTCCGTGCGACAGCCGCTTGGCGGGCGCTTGAACGGCTCCGGCTCGCTCCGGCTTCCGTGCCATCAGCCCTGGACCACCGGCAGAAGGACTGGGGGCCACGCCGGTGGCGCGCGGAGTACGTACCGGCGGAGTGTTTGCTCATGTTCATGGCATTTCACCGGTTCTTCGCTCTCACAATGTCTTTTGGGGTGGTTTCGGGTCGGGTGCTTCACTTGCCTCGTGGTGGGCTGTCTTGAAGAGGTATATTATCGTATATTTCAAAGCAAGCGGCGTGGCCCTGTTTGTAAAAACGATGCAGTGGCGCAGCGAAATTGAAGTCTGAAACATCTAGTCTTTCATTTGGCTAGCAGACAGCACAAACTGCTTTGAGTGGGGGAATTCTGTGACACGCATGCTGCCACAATCTGAGCATTTGGACGCTGCGTATACGCACCAGACCCACACAAAGCCGTTGCCAAACAGAAAAGGAGTGAACAACACAACATGTGATCCAGCATTGCTGGTGAGGGCCTAAGGGGGGGTAGATTTCTTCCTCTGCCAGGTGGACATTGTTTACATAGTAGTGTTTCTAATTTATAAAAGTGTGTCTTCCGCAAGAAAGAACACCTTCAAGAATCATGTGTTGCAAGGGATGGCTCTCATGCCTAAGAGTTCTTTCTGACAAACAACACCCTGCTGGGACGGCATAGAAAGATGTATGGTCCAGATCCACAGCCCCAGAAAAAACGGTTTGACAGTCACAAAACCTGAGCCGGGCAGATGCAATTTCATAATTTTCCCTTGCAGTTTGGGTGGGGCATCTTTCCATGATATTCGGCCTCACATGCCCACCAGGGAAAAGAACGCCTTAGCAGAAAACAACTTCATAAGAGTTATGCTTGCAATCAATGGTGAGGATCTGCATTGACCTTTTGCTCAAGTTTCTCTTTTCGGCTAGGATGGCTAGGTGGTCAGCTTGCGTATCCCCCTATTTATATAGAAGGTTTTAGAAGCATGTTTTCGCACCATCCGCGGAAATGGCGCAATGCTTGAGAAAACCCTCTTGTGGTGGTTTCACGGCAATTTTTTTGCCCAGGTCCGTGAGCTGGATTTAGTTGGCACCCGCTTGAACTTTGAATTAGCCGTTTGGTCCGCACGAATCAGCCTTGGGGGTTGAGGCTGGTGGAGGGATGGTGGATGGCACCGGAGTCCATGTCGATATTTCCACCTTCTAGTAGCTGCTTCTAGGTGGGGTTTGGGAAGGTCTCGGCAAACCCTGTGGTTTTGCTTTTTTTGCCAATTGAAAAGTGGCATCAGTCGCTCAGTTGCTATATGTTGGAGTGGGTCGTTTTGAGAGTTGCAAAGCACTTTGGGCACTCCAGAGGTTACCTGCCGCCCAATTTTTGTGAAGACAATGTTGTGGCCTCATTGCTTCAAAGTGGGTAAAGGGTTAAACAGCGGAAAAGGCTGTAACATCCTGTCGAATTCCACTTGTTCAGAAGTGGTGGTTGAACCATAAGCTACAAGTCCACTCTCAATGTCTTCATTATTGTCAAGTTCACCTGTCCTTTTTAGCATGCATTGCGAACAAATTCTTCTTCAGGTGCTCCTTTTCATGAATTTTCCAAGGCCGACGTTGAAACTTTCCGATTTGATACCTGCTCATCTCTAGACCTTTCAATTGTGTTTGTATTTTGCCTGAGACACGACATGCTGCGGTACATGACATGGAGAAATGATAGGAACGCCGATCCTTCTTGTAGGCTGACACAAAGGCAGCATGACCCCCCTTTCCCTGGCCTAGTGTGCAGCTGATAATTAGAAGAAACGAGTTTGCTCAAATTCACAAATGTCTGAACAACTCTGTCTTTTCTTCTCCGTTGTGTTTGTTGACTTTGCTTTCCCTTCTGCCTTGTGAGACAGTTGGATTGGGATCCCTGAAAACATATCTAGCTACGCGAAGCATGTGTTGAATGTGCCATTGAGGCCATGACAAAAACCTAATTTGGTTTCTTCACTTCTTCTCTTCTATATGGTTGTCGATCTAAAGGTCCTAGTCAGCAGTGTGTATGACGATGACCCGGAACATATCAAAATCTCATTTGGCGAAAGTTTTTTCTCGAGTTGGCGAAAGTAAATTCTTTTTTGGCGAAAGATCTGGCGAAAGATTAAATATGTACTTTTGTATGAATGTTCATTTGCTTTCTGAACAGCTGGTGGCAGTGACTCAGAAGCTAGATGAGCTGTGGAAGTTAGATAACCTGCAGCTGCTGCGGCTGCTACCACTACCACTACCACTACCACTACCACTACCACTACCACTACCACTAC